AGAAAAGAGGGCTCAGTAAGTAAAAGCACTTGCCACACAGCCTGATGACTGGAGATCAATTCGTGAAACCCATAGTGGAGGGAAATACCCAGCTCCCAAAAGTTATGTACTGTGTGCACATGTGCCTTGCATGCACACACGCACAGGCACATACACAGCCATTAAATGTAAAAAGAAAAGAAAGGTGGTGGTAGGATGAAGACTAAGAGACAAATGCCAAAGACTCATCTTCTGATTTGGCACAGTAATACCAGAGTTTACGTAGATAATTTGGAAAATCATCTCACAGAGAAGAGGTTAATAAGTTGTAATAACAACTGTGTTAGTAATAAATCACTGATATTTATCAAGTGCTGCTCAGTAAATAGACTTTACATAATTGCCTTGTAGATTATTGTATCTCATTTAACATTCATTCCAACCTGTGAGATATCATGACCATTTTCCAGGTGAGGCTTAGAAGCAATCAAGCAGTCTGCTGAGGTCCAGAGTCAACAAGTGATGGGGTCAATGTTCAGACCTTGTCAATGTGTCCAAATCGTCTATCCTTCTGCTTCTTTATGGTCCTGTCTGTTGGTGTAGAAATCTTTGAACCCCTGTTGCCTTTGGAATGGCTATCCGGCACAGACAAGCTTTGCAGTGAGGCCTTGCTGTTACAATGCAGCTGGGAGTCTTCATGTAGCATAGGGAAGAATGAGGAATGACTCCTGATTCACCGGGTTCGCAGTGTATGTGGCAGGCCCACCACAGGCAGACCAGGCCCCTCGTCCCAGCAGAGAGGGAATGCAGGCACTGGGAGTGAGACTCGTCGCAGCTCATCATGTCTGTTTTTATTACTGGGAAGAGTGTGATGGAGTTGCTCCCTCTCCCTATTTCATCCTGGAGAGTGTGTGGTCTGCAGAGATAGAAACATCAGGGGCTCCAGCTACTCTAAGTAATAATTGTTGTGACACATGAGCCTGTGTTTCATTTTACTGTAAAGACTTTGTGAAACACAGAATGAAAGAATACTGACCTCTTTCTTTTTCTTTTGGCTTTTTGTTGTTTGGGTTTGTTGTTGTTGTTATTGTTGTTGTTGTTGCTGACAGGGTCTCTTTAGGCCCAGCCCACCTGGAAGTCAGGGCGTGGACCAGGGTGGCCTCAGAGAAAGATCCACCTGCCTCTGCCTCCCAAGGGCTGGGATTAAGGCATGCCACCATGCCTGGTGTTACTACCCTCTTTTATAAGTGAGCTACAGTTCTAATTTTAAAACAGATAGATAATAAGAACAGTCATTTGTGATGAGAAAGGATATGCAGTTACCTGTTTTCCTGGTGCATCAAGTGTAAAGCCACTTTTATTTATTTATTTATGTATGTATGTATGTACGTATGCATGTATGTGTTTGTGTGATTGAACTCACAGAGATCCTCCTACCTCTGCCTCCTGAGCGCTGGGATTAAAGGCATGCATCACCACGCCTGGCTGCAAAGCCACTTTTAAAAGTTGCATCTGCAGTGACAGGCGTCATAGCAAGTTCCAGGCCAGTTGAGGCTACAGAAAGACCCTGTCTCAAAAAAAAAAAAAAAAAAAAAAAAAAAATGCGTCTGTACCTGATTGTCCAGGCAGTTCTGTGCATCAAGCATGGTGTACTCATCCCTGGAAATATTCTGCAAAGCAAGTTTTCTGAATGCCCATTTACACAGTTAGGCATATTTTTTTCCTCCTTCTTTTCAAAATCCTTGTTAACGTCACCCCAGATGGAATTCATTTAACCCTGTTCTCTTGGGTACATTACAGATATTTGATAAACATAAAAAATCATAGTACCAATGTCTCTTGACTTTTAGTTTCCCAAGTGAATTTCCTGTCTCTGTAAGGAAAGAAGTAAGAGTCCTGACTAAATCCCCCACCCCAAGGAGCAGCTTCCATTCAGTCCTGTGACGGGATCCAAAGACAGGTCTTATGTTTAATGCAGTGTATAAACTACCTCATCGTTAGAATTTCTTAATAATGTTTTGAGGAAGCAATAAAAATATCCTCCCAAGAAGAGCTTTCTTATTTTATTTGATTGATTGAATGATTGATTGATTGATTAATGATTGATTGATTGATTAATTGATCGATTGATAGAACTAGAGTCTCTTTGTGATGGAGGCTGACCTTGAATTCCTGACCTTCCTTACTCCACCTCCCAAATGCTGGGATTAGATAAACGCACTCCCATGCCCACACCAAAGAGAGCTTCTTAAAATACAACTTTGAATATTCAGATATTCCTGGCACTTGATTGTTTAGAGGTTTAAATTCCAAGGATTATCAGCCAGAAAATGATCCTGCAGACCATCCGCCACCCCCTCCTCCCCATAGAACAGTCCTGCTTTTGATGCAGCTGCAGGGAACATTGCCATTCTTGGCTCATGTCAGGTGCTGATGAGTAGATGACATTGTCACAGATGGACAGGGCTTTCATATTCCACTGAGAGGAAGATTGATGGAGCCTGTGCAGGTCTAGCACCTCACTGTTGTATTTCTCATCATCTCCCTTTCCCAGAAAGTTCCTGCCTTCACTTTGAACCCTGGCAAGATATGCAACAATAAGTTTAGTTTAAATGTACAACGACCATGACTGTTTGTTGCTAGCAAACTAGCTTTATGTAACTATAACTCCCTGAGACCCTGCAGAATAAATCCTCCCTCAAGACCCAGCACAGAAAGATAAGAGCCTCAGGGTGTCGGGTAGATACAGATACAAAACAGCATCTTTAACAAATGAAAGGAGATTCATACTGCTAGACATGTGTGCTAGACTATGGAAGACAGTACTCATGATGTCTGCTGTTTTGCCTGTCAATATTTTTTCAAATACCAGAGAAAGAAGCAAAGTTTGAAAATAGTCACAGCTGCCTGAGGAACCACTGTAGCATTTGAGTTTATGAATCCTCATGTGACATGCCAGCTGTTCAATTCCCCAGTTTAAATTTGGAGGAAGTAAGCACATCTTGTGGGCTGCAGATCTTTCTGGTTTCCTGGGTACTTGCAGGAAGCTCAGAAATTGACTCAAGTGTTAATTAGTTTCTTTGTCCAGATACAACTGCCTAATAGTTAACTGGTAAGATAAGCCATGGCGGCTCATGCCAAGGTCTTTAAAGAAAAGAGAAAGTTTAAATTGCACTGCAAGTTGAAAGCACAGAAAGGTCAAGGAAAGGGAAACATAAAGCAACTATTGAAATACCACCTGGTGGTTTAGTTTGCTTTGGTTTCAGTGGGGAGTGTTTGCTTGTTTTTGTTTTTTTGAAACAGGCTCATGATTTAGCCCAGACTGTCCTAGAACTTGCACATAACCCAGACTGACCTCAAACTCATGGCTCCCATGCCTCAGTCTCCCAAGTCCTGGGATTACAAAAATGCATCACCATACTACCTTAATAGAAGTAGAGAGTGGTTTTGTTTGTTTTTATTTGGGTTTTTGTTTGTTTGCTTACTTGTTTTAATTTTTGAGGCATGGTATCCCTGTAGCCCCAGCTGGCCTGGAACTCGCTGTGTAGACCAGGCTGGCCTCCATCTCACAGAGATTTACCTGCCTCTGCCTCCCCAGTGCTGGGATTAAAGGTGAGTGTCACCATGCCAGCCTTAGAAGCAGTTTTATATACCAAAGACTACCTTTTATCTCTTCCCTTCATATAACATTATGCATTACTTTTAGTTTCATGTATGATATACATATATGTATATGAACATAAATAAATGTATATATAAATCTGAATATGTGTATAGAAAACAGTATATTAAAAGCTTTCTTTTTTTCCCCCTTTTTTCCAAACAGCCACTTAAACCTCAGATTCCACATTAGGTGCAGTTGTGTCTTGGTAACTTCAAAGCTGGCTTTAAGGTTGGGTTTCTGGATGGTTTGCTTACTTCCCCAATTTTTACTTTTCCTCTTTGTTTCCCTAGATAAACATCATTCAGGGAATTGTGGCAGAAATCAACACCAAGACTGGGGAATCGGAATGCCGTTACTATAAAGAGCGACTGCTTTACTTGGAAGAAGGACAGAAAGACTCCCTGATTGACAGTTCAAGGGTCCTGTGTTGTCATGGTGAATTGAAAAATAACCGGGGTGTGGTAAGTGGTCACTCTCCTCAAGGCCTTATCCTAGACTTTCCCCATCCCCACACTGGGGATTTAACCTAGTTCCTGCAGCAAGGCAAGCACTCTGCCACTGAGAACATCTCCAACCCCTTCTTTACTTTTTATTTTGAGGCAGTCTCACTTAAGTTGACCAGGCTGGTCTCAAACTCCTGCCTGAATGGGTCAAGCTGTCCTCCTGCCTTAACCTCCCCATCAGCTGGAACCCATAGGCTCACACCAGTGCATCCAGCTGCCTGTCCCACCTTGACTTCAGAAAATAGTGAGCCCCACCTAATGGCACAGGCCTGTAATCCCAGCTGTTTGGGAGACTGAAGCAAGAATTTTTAAGTTCAAGGCCTGTCTGGGCTACAGAAAGAGTATAAGATCAGCCTGGTCTATATAGAGGGTTCTAGGCCAGCCAAGGGTTACATAGTAAGACTCGTCTCAAAAAGCCAAAAAAGAAAGAAAAGAATAAAAGAACTCTTTAATTTAGGAGAGATTGGTTAACTTTACAATTCAAGTGCTTAAGTGAGCAACCCTAGAAACGTCAGGACCTACATCTGTGTGGTAGGGAGTTACTGATTTCCAGAAAGTTGTTTTCTGCTTCTCATTGATTTCCAGAAAGCAGTAGGGAACTTGAATGATGTGACACCCTGCTCTTTGAAGGTTTCCTCTAGGAAGACCTATGAGAAGCGATGCTCTTCCAGAGATGGCCCTGTTCTCTTTCATACACCAGGCATGGGCTGAGGCTGACTGGATTATGCCTATGGCACAAAGTTGAACTCTTAATTCATGCTGCAGGCAGATTGCTTTGAGAACACACAGCAGTTGGGGTGGCAGGTTTGTTGGGGTTTTCCCCTATCAGAGTTGCGAAGGTTATTGTGAATGAAAAAAAGTACATCAGAAGAGTATGTTAGGGTCTGGAGAGATGGCTCAGTGGTTAAAGAGCACTGCTGCTCTTGCAGAGGTCCTGAATTCGGTTCCCAGAACCCACATGCTGGCCAACAACCATCTGTAACTCCAGTTCCAGAGGATCTGACCCCCTCTCTGACTTCCGCGGACATTGCACTACACAGGTGCATTTAAATGCATGCAGGCAATACACTCATATATATAGAATAAAAATAAAAATAATAAAATTTTTTAAAGTGCATTAGTTGGAGGGCGAAAGGGAGCTGAGGCTAGTAAGAGGGTTCAGAAGACACTGAGAGATGAGGGATGATTTTAGAAGACTGCCTAGGCTATGTGAGCTCAAACTGCCTGCCTCAGCTACAAGACTGATGAAAGTAGAAACAAAGTCAACATCCCTGATTATTTTAAGTACCTAAAATAGTGGCATACCCCTTTCTTCCCCAACTCCTAAAGGAATATTTTTAGCATGTTTCTACCATCACTACCCCCTGAAAAATAGCCTTTCCCTGGTTATTTTGTCCTTTACTGTTTCCTGATCTTAGGGATATTTTTATTGTTTGTTTTGAGATAGGGTCTCCCTGTGTAGTCCTACTTGGCTTCAGAATCACTATACAATTCAGGCTGGCCATGAATTTGAAATAGTTTACTTCCCCTTCCCACATGGTAGAATTACAGGTATGTGCCCTCACTTCCAGCCCATCTTTTTCCATATACATTCCCACCAGCCAGGGTCTGCGGGATGTGGTATGTGTGTGGTAGGAGACTTACAGATTTCTTTTCTCTCAAGTAATTTCATTATTTGATAATATAGAAAGTGCTTCCCCTGCCCCAGATCAAGATTCTGAGTTTCCATCTGAAAGCCAGAATCTAGCTGTAGAGCTGTTGTCCTTCCCCTTTAACCCCTAAGCACTTCTAAACTGTGAGGGGAATCTGAGGCTTAAAATTGAGGGCCATAGATTCACCCCAGCTCTGCCCAGGAAAGCTTGCTTTCGTGATTTGAGGCATGGCTTCATTTTTGACATTTTCCTTTTTGCCCATAATACATATCAGTCATCTGCCCTTTAAGCAGTCTTTCCAGAGATCCCAGATGCTGATAAACTTACTGAGAAGGACACTAGGGTCATCTTGTCTGTGGCTCCAACAGTGTGTTCTGGTCCCTCTGGAATGAGCAGGGCTCCCAGTTGGAGTTCCTAGATGAAGGTGATGATCAGCTCAGTGGTTGAAGGAGCACATGTTTTGGGGTTTGGGAACCCAAAGTATATATTAGGGTTTGATATACAATCTCACCCTTTGTAGACTATTGTTAATTTGATCTCTTAGAATTGTGTTGACTAGTATATGCCAAGGCCAGGAGAGTGTTAATTTTTCTTTATTACCCCATTCATTCTATTCCCCTCTCTTATTTTTCCTTTGGTAGAGCTGGAGGCTATGTCTGCACAGGTTGAAAATTGTAATGTAAATAGGGCTCAGAGTTAAGGCCCTGGCTTCAGGTATCTGTGGGTAGAAGGACATCTCCAGTAGGTCCTGAGGAAGAGCCCATATGAAGACAGTGTATCTATGTATATCTGGAAATGTTTCAGATCTGTTCAATTTCTGCTTTCCTGGAGGTAGATTTGAGCATGAGCTCATAACCCATAATGAACCTGCTTCCTGAGGACCTCTTGCCACAGAGGCTCACAAATCCATCATTTAGTCAATAGTTGCTTAGGGAAATCCTGTGGGTTCTTTTCTTCTAGAAGCTCCATGTGTTCCTGTTCCAAGAAGTACTTGTGATCACCCGAGCTGTCACCCACAACGAGCAACTCTGCTACCAATTGTACAGGCAGCCCATCCCTGTGAAGGACCTCGTGCTGGAAGACCTGCAGGATGGAGAAGTACGATTGGGCGGCTCCCTGCGCGGGGCTTTCAGCAACAACGAGAGAAGTACGTGTGGGTAGCAGAGTGCCAGGACAGGTTGAACGTTTTGGTCGTAGTAATTTGGAAAGAGTAGCTAGCTGGTGAAGAGAGAACAGCCACAGCCTGGGAGCCAAACTGTGCTCCAGTGCTCACTGTTCACTTACTGATGTGCAGTCCTGTTCGACCTCTGTGAGCCTCAGGTTCCCATTCGCCTACCTTCCTCAAAATGTTGCTGTGAAAACTAAGTATGTGAACTGGTCCACATATAGCTGGTGCTCCTTATGCTGTCTCTCTCTCTCCGGCTGATACGTGAAAGTGTGCTTAATACACATAGTCCCTATGTAAGTGCCAGTTGCATAAAGGTAAATTTTATAGTTGATCTGGAAGACTTGCTGAAGAGACTTCAAAAGGATCAACTAGAGACCAGCTGCTATGGCTCATACCTCTTAGCACTCAGGAGCCACAGGATTGTGAGTTTGAGGTCACCCTGAGCTATATAGTGAGGCCCTATCTCAAAAGAAATCTAAAAGACTGGTGAACTGGGATGTGTGTTCATCCCCAACACCACTCAGTGGGCTTCTGTAACCTGAGACTTACTCATCGAAGGAAAGAGCCAAGAGGAGCCATATAGCCATTTCAGGTGTCTTCATGTGTGGAACATTGTTTTAGCTACTGATGATGAACCAGGATGTTAAAGTCCTTGTCCTGTGGAGCATACAGTATTTGATGGACATATATATATATATATATATATATATATATATATATATATATGAAAACAGTCAGCATGTATTTAATATACATTGTAAGGACTCAAGCAGACTTAATTTAAAAACCAGAAATAAAACAAAAATAAAACCACAACTCAAGAAATGGATCAAGGAGAGGACAGACCATCTAAGGACAAAATAAAGGCACCGCAGAAGAGGCTGCACAGCTTTGGTCTTGCTCTCGGATGGAGACCTGCTTTGAGTAGGGTTCCTGAAGGTGCTTCTTAAAAGCTGTGGGGGTTTTCCAGGGCTCAGCCACATGTGTGTTCAAAGGGCTATTGATGTTGGGTTCTCTTAACAGGCTCTGATAGAGTACAAGATGACCCTGACATCATGCAGGGCAGACCACTTATCCTTGAGGATGTCCAGGTAGATGTTACCCTGTGTGTCCACACTGGGGTGATAGTAGGGTATGAGAAACTTCACTGTAGGTGCGTTGTAAGGATAGCCACTGGGGAACTAACTCTAGGGAGAGTTTATACCTCAGATCTTCATAAACTGTGCCAGCTGCTCCATGGATGGTCCCTATCCATGTGAAAAGGTTGTCTGATTCAGGGAAAGCAGAAATTCCTTTGTTTTACCAGACATCATGAAGGTCATCAGCTCCTGGTTTAGCCTCTGGCCACACTGCCCTGAGCAGCACCCCCAAGGGGCTTGGCCCCTTTTGCCCATGGTAAAGCTATCTCAGAGCTGGGTTGTGGTTCTGGGAGGCCATCTGGGCAGGCAGTGCTGCAGGGAGACAGGAGCATGGACAGCACTGCAACTGCTGATGGGCAAATATTCCTAATGCTGGTTAGAAAACTAAAGCTCAATCTGGGCATGGTGGCTGTGCCTGTAATCATAATCCCAGCACTTGGGAGGCAGAGGCAGGAGGATCACCACAAGTTCTCAGCCTGCCTAAACTACATAGCGAGTTTCTGGCCAGCCAGGGTATATACCAAGACCCTGTCTCAAAAAAGAAAAAGAAAAAGAAAAGAAAACAGTAAAGGAATAAAGAGAAAGTAGAAGAGCTTATTTTCAGGGACAAGGAGTATTTTTAGCAGACTCCTCAAGGCAGGTGTAGAAGGCTGAGTGACCGTGGCATCAGGGTGGTACTGCGCTGTATGCTGCATCCATAGAAAACATTTTGTAATTGACAAGGTCAGCTATGGGCTCTGGGGGTTAGTACCCTACTTTGTTGGTTTGCCTGAGGAAACACCCGCCCATTGACTCTCCCTGTATTTTTCATTTCTAGTTAAGAACTTCTTCAGAGTCAGTTTCAGAAATGGATCCCAAAGTCAGACCCACTCACTCCAAGCCAATGACACCTTCAACAAACAGCAGTGGCTCAACTGTATTCGTCAAGCAAAAGAAGCAGTTCTGTCTGCTGCTGAGCAGGCTGGGGTGCTTAACTCCAAGGGGCCATCCCCAAGTCCCACCACCCAGAGCAGGGAGCCACAGGGAGAAACAAAACTTGAGCAGATGGACCAATCGGACAGTGAGTCAGACTGCAGTATGGACACTAGTGAGGTCAGCCTTGACTGTGAGCGAATGGAGCAGGCAGACTCCTCCTGTGGAAACAGCAGGCCAGTGGAAAGCAATGTCTGACAGAAGGCCCTGATCTTGCTGGACAGCCCTGTGTCTTGCCTGTACAGTATTTGCATTCCACACAAGGAACAGTCTGGAGAAGCACTTTGTGATCATTTTGTGCCCGTGTTGGCTTAGTCCCTTTATGTCTGTACCATGTCCCTAGTACTGTAACCGCCAACCAATCTGTGCCATCCGGAATCTGTGACAGCACTTACCCTGTACTCTATCTCACAAGTGCTGGATGAATGGAGAGGGACTTAAACACATTACTTTCAGTTTTCCTGCTGGATTTTTAAGAACAGAAAGGCTCTCTAAACCACTGTTCTGTGTAGACTGCCTAACGAGTCCTTTCTCCCATGCTTCTCCATCACTTTGCTAGCTCTTAGGCATAGTTGCTGAAGACATGGAATTGAGAGAGCTTTGCAGAGTATTCAGGTGGCATTCCAAAGGAAGCCAGGAAACTCCAACCCATGAAGTGAACTTAGGTTCTGTGTCATTCAACCAGAAAGTATCCCTGCAGATTCCGAGGTTTAATTGTGCAGAAAAAGCCTTGCTTGAACCCTGCAATTTAATACAGTGCAAGTTGAATGTAATAATCTATGAAGACATGAAAAAAAGGCATTAGAGGGGCCATGACAAAACCAGATGCCAGACCAGACCTAGTGGCACATACCTATAATCCTAGCACTTGGGAGGGAGCGGCAGGAAGATTCAGAGTTCAAGGACAGCCTGGGTTACATACCAAGTTCTAGGTCAGCCTAAGTCCCATAGTGGAAACAAAAGCAAAACAACAACAACAAAAAAAACCTAAAAGCAGCTGCCAGTTCTGAATCTTTAACTGGAATGTGTATGGCTGTAGGAGGTGTCTGGTATGGTCATTGCCTGCTGTTGAGAGAGCATCTCTGGTTTACAACATCAGACTAGATCACAAACACCCTGGGAAGGTCTGCAAGGATGATGAGGAGACCTGTCTGCACTATGTTCCCTCGCCTCAGCCATTTCTATTCTAGAGTGGGAGTGAAGCAGCAGAAGACGTGTGTCTGCACGGGTGACTGTTTACAAAACACATGAGAGGAAGGATCAGGCTCATGTGAGAAACATACCACCTTCACCAAGGCCTTGTATGGGAACCACAGAAGTTGCAAGGCATGGTCTGGAGAGTCTTGGGATTTCCTGCTCTGCTGTTGGGCCCTCAGTTAGCATCTGTGGTTGCATGGTTACCTTCTCCCGAGGCCAACTTCAGCAGCTCTGATTGATTAGGATCAGCTAGCCAAACTGGAAAAACTGTCTTCTAACCTTGATTTACAGAGCAGGGTAGGGTACGGACCTCAAAAAGAAGTTAACAAAGTACATAGAACAACCCCCTTGCAAGTGTAAATACTTAGGATTACTTGTACAAAATTATACCCACACCAGCACTAGTAGTGATTCTAAATTATTGCCATTTTTTTTTAATTTCTGCATCTTTCAAGTTTACAGAAAAGCAGCAAATGCAATGTTATCCTTTTGTTGTGTACATATGCCACGTTCATTAAAGAAGCTGCGTGACAAGATTTATCAATATAAAAACAAGGTATATTACATTATTATTTTTCAAAAACAAATATGATCAATTTTACCCTGTAAAGCATATTTCTGTATTTATAGATTTTAAACATGGTGAATTTTTTTCTATTACTAGTTTATTTAAAACTGCTTTTTTTCTCAAGTTGTTGCTGATTTAGTGAGCATGTGAACCTGCTGCAGATAGAAGCAGAGGAAAGCTGAGACAGGACATTGGACAGAAGAGAAAAGCCTGTGTTCTCTGCAGAGCCACTGGCCACTGTGGCCAACATATTGAGAAAAGGTCTTTGTCAGGGTTGGCCGATGGGAAGAAAAACGATGAATGTTTTGATGAGATGAATGTTTTTGTATAATGGCCTTAAACTTTTCTGGAAGCATTTCAAATAAATTATATTAAAAATGTCATCTTCCCCTGTGGACAGTATTTGCTCTATAACCATCAAATTCTAGTTATCCTTTGGAGAGGCAGGGATTTCTTTCTGAAATTTCGCTTCTGGTTCCCAACTACAACTTGCACTGGAACACATACTTATCAAAGCTGTCATGGTATGTACATACTTAAAAGTCTTTTTTTTCAAGCATTCTACTTTCATTCACTTATTCATTAT